AGCTAGCTTCATTTGGCACTGTTATTAGAAGTTTGTGCTCAGAATCACAAAACGAAACTTCAGAGGACCTAAAGTATTAAAATTTTCCGAAAAACCCTCCGAAGATTGATTATCAATCTAGAAAAAAATACCACATTACGAACCCCTCTATGCAAAAATGCTGGCACCCCCCTGCTGATGTTTCGACAACCTGTGCGATAGTCATCTTCAGAGACAATTACTTTTTGCATTACTGAATTAGAGTCATGGCAGCAAAAATTCCTACTTTTAGCTTATGGACTCCATCGGAACGACTTTCCACCCCCTCATCCAACAGGAGTGGGATTCTCTCGCAAATACAAAATGAACTTTTCCATCGGAATCTATTCGTGTCCAATGGATCCTGGGTTCAAACCTTTCACTGTTTTATTATTCATTCAAAAAAATTCCTAGATTAAAAACATGGCTAAAGCATGCTCACCTCAATCGACCCATCGATGTTAAGTTCATCTTCGATAGTACACGTTTATGGCTTTTCAGCTCTGCAAATATTTTCCAAATAGCAGATGTCTCCCTTGGAGTTGTCTTCTTGCTGGTCTTGCCATGTTTTTAGCCATTATTTCGCCTAGTTCTTGCTCTTGAAACGAGTGAAATGTCCGCCATTTTTCAAGTTCACAACCAAAACAACTCAACCCCGTACCCAGGTCTTCTCGGTTAACGGTGCATTGACCTGCAAGAACGCTGCAATTTTGACGTCATCTCCTCGCTAAACACAAAATTCTTCCAAATTTGGTCATCAGTAACTGGTTATGGTGAATTAAACGTGTGCTTTTAGCCAATCAGAATCGGGGAAATATTTTGAATGAATAATACTCTACAATATTTTATTTAGCCTGAGGTAAATAATTCTTTTAGTATATTCACACGAAGTGATCTCGGCAGAATCAGAAAGGAAACCATTAAAACAATGATTAGTTTGATTGACGGGTGAATTCATGCGTGAACACGAAGCCGTAAACAGTGGACGCGCAAAAGTTAAATCTTTACAATTATCTTCAAATATGGCAAATAATAGTTTTAATCTTTTTGTATCGATTTTAGCATCAACGGTTTAAAAGAAAACGCCGAAAATTTAAATTACCACCCAATTCTGAGAAGAAAAGTAGACTGTTTTATTTGTTTCTGTCAACTCACCGTGAATGAGAAAGTTTTTTTGTCGCTTCTTCCAATGCTGTCAATAGCGGCTATGATCAAGGTGAGCGTTGTTTATCTGCAGTGTTCTTTGCCTTGTTAACTTTCTGGCACGTACAATTTTCGAAAATATTTGCCTTCCTTTTTTTCCATAAATGAACTTCTATTTATTAAAGGCAAAATTGGTCGGTTTTTTTTTAACTTCTTTTTATTATTGAAAGTAAAACACACAAAAAAAAAGAAAAAAAAATTTCACAGAAGAAATAGAGTAATAAAGTAAGGGGAGCAGGGATGGCGCAGTGGTTCGATTCCCGGACTCGACGTCATATGTGGGTTGAGTTTGTTTTTGGTTCTCTTCTCTGCTCCGAGAGGTTTTTCTCCGGGTACTCCGGTTTTCCCCTCTCCGCAAAAACCAGCATTTCTAAATTCCAATTCGATCCGGAATGTTCGAGCGTTTAATACATGAGCCCCGGGCTCGGGAGATTGGGCAACCACCCCTCACGCTATCGAGCTTAAATAAAATTAATTTAATTTTAATTTAATTAAAAAAAAAAGCAAAACAAAACAAACAAATAGCGAGTTTACCCACCTACATGGCAATACTTAAACAAAAAAATTGTAAAAGTTAATTATAGATAATACTAAGTACAGTAATATATGGAATTAGCACTGCTGTAATCTAGTTTAATATTTGTAAGTATTGCCATGGCAAAATTGGTCTTACTAGAAAATCCCGAAATCAAAAAACAGTGACAAAGCGGCCTCGTTTTCCTCTGTAGTGGTAAACATAGCTTCGAGCGTACAAAAAGCCAGCTACAGTAAACCGCTTCACAATAAATCACGCTGTTTAAACACCATGAAGTCTTTTCTTACCTTCAAAGTCATCAATACTTGGATATTCTTGTATTTTCAAAAACTCTTACTATCAACCTTTGGCCGAGGAATGAGTTGTGTTTTTTAGAATACACGGACAAGTCAATCTTAGCCAACGATATCGGGCGGTTTTTCGACCGTAAGATTGCAAAGATTCGGGCAGAGCTTGATGCGTGCACTCTTCATCCTGGGGTGGTGGCTGAGGATAAAGTGTTTAAAGGCGATAGGAAACTTGATCATTTCAATACGTACTCTGTGGAAGATATGAGGAAGCTGGTCAGTAGATCATCGAAGAAAAGCTGTCAACTTGATCCTATGCCGACCAATTTAGTAGTCGGCATGTCCGATATGCTTCTCCCCATCATCACTAATGTCGTGAATTCTTCACTTTCTTTGGGACACTTTCCATCTGATTGGAAAACGGCCCTTGTGGATCCAAGACTGAAGAAGACCAAGC